AAAAAAAAAAAAAAAAAAAAAAAAAAGAGCTTGGGGTGTGACTCAGTGCAAAGCCCTTGGTTCAAGCTCAAGTAATGCCAAAAACAATCTACTTTGAAACCATTTCAGATTTACGTAAGGCTAGTATAGCAAGGTCCTATATACCCCTCAATCAGCTTTCGCTTGTCCTATTAAGACTTGGTAAAAATAGAAAACCTTAAAACATTACCACTAGTATGACAGTACTAACTAAGCCATATACTTTGTGCACACTTTACCAGGTTTCCTAACAATACTCCACTGGAATACCACCTTGAACTTAGAATAATGCTTTTAATAATGAAAAGGGCCCAAGCCAAGCTCTATCCCCAGAATCAAAATTTCCTCTCAGGCTTCCTTCCCTTGTGACTCTCCAACCTTGTACACACCCTCATATTTGCATTCAGCCGGCTTGAGGTTTCACCTGTGTATCTGTTTGGATCTGACAGGCCTGATTTTTCATCCAAGTTCATTCCTAATAATTCTGAGGTCATGTGGCTATCCGAGAATCTAACAGAAACTACAGGAACTGCCTCTGAGAAAAATGCACGGACAATACCAATTTTGCATCCAGTTTCAGAGCAGTGGGACACAGATTCCCCCTTTCCTGTCTCCAAGGACTTCTACTTAGATACTTCCTTCCAGTTTGGCCTCCCCGACATTGATTCTGCAACACAATCCACACATCTCATTATCAAGTCCTCTCCCAAGACGCATTCCAGGTCCTGGACACAGTGGCCAGTGTCTGCGCTCTGGGTTTTGGCCAGCACCAGCTGCCTCAGTCACTGCTGAGGGTTGAGGCTGAGAAACACTGACCAGGCAAAGCTTTTTGCTCAGGCCCTGAACGTCACAGGCTTCTCTTCCAACCAACTGCTCAGCACAGAAGCTCCATGATTCTGCTTGACCCAACAACATCACTACAGGATTTACTTTCTCTGCCAATATCAGAAACACCTCAGAATTTAACATTTTCTCAGTCCAAAATCCACATTAGAATCTGAGTCTCAACAAAGAAAAATGACTCCAGTGAACAGACCAGTATTGACAAGCTCTACCACGTTCATTTTTTTGGTACTGGGAATCGAACTTGGGACCTTGCACTTGCGAGGCAAGTGGTGGCACCACTCAGCTAAATTCCCGGCCATGTTTGGCTATTTTTACATGGCAGGGACCTTGGGCACCACCTGCTTACTACTCTTTATCTTTGGAAATAGCATTCGAGGCCCCCCACAAGTGAAAACTACAACTATCAATTCTGCACCTCTGTGTGCCCTCTTAAGCCCCATACCAGCCCTTGAAGCAGGTATGGAGGAAAAACAAAACCCTCCATCCCCACTCACTCTCACAGTTTATGTTTGAGCCTCCTGTTTCACCCAATTCCTTGAATGCTGTCCCCATGCCTCACTGTTGGGGACAGCCCCAGCTCTGATATGAACTATGCAACTGGTAGTGAGGATCCCTTCGGGCCCCTTTGCTGTGGGGTCACATTTTCTCCCCTAGTGATGCCCCATCCAGGATCACCCCAATGATCCAGAAGCAACAGCATCAGAGAACAGACAAAATCCACTCCTAGGACAAAGCTGGTGAGCTCTTACCTTCTGCAAATGGTTCCCATTCATAAAACCGGCCCATGAATGGCTTGTTGTTGTAGGAGGCACACTGTACCTCTCGGATACTTCTACTGCTTTCTGGACATGCCTAGAAGAGCAGATAGGAAAGAGGGAATTAGTGTCCATCCTTCCCGAACTCCTGGTCAAATCCAAGGTTACCTTTCAATTTTGAATGCCAGTCCTCCTCTTCTAAGCCAGGGTCTCTGAAAATGTGCTGACCCCTGGCATCAGAAATTTTAAATGCAGATCCCAGACTTGGGTCCAAGTCTACAGGTTCAGAATCTCTTAGGGACACGACTTTTTAACAAGCTCCCCAGGTTAACTGTCTGCACACCATAATTTGAAAGCCACTGGCTCAAATGTTTTGATCCTAACAGGTGGGTCTGCTCGCATCCCTCACAGAGGGCCAACCGGTCCCATCTGAGTTCAACACTGTGCACTCCCTTCCTCTCGCACAGACTGATGCCCACAGCAAGCACAGCCTAAGCCTTTACCATGAGCCAGGTGCTACGTTCAGTGTATTACAAGCATTAACTCATTTACTTCCTACAATACCAATGAAGTGAGTATTACAACCTTACAGTTTTTCCACAGATGGGCAAAAAGAGGCACAGAGGGGTTCCAGATCCAGGCACAGGCAGAGTCTAGACTCACATCAAAGATGTCAGGTGGCCACCAGGCTCTCCCCCTACCCTTCCCATCTCTTCTAAATGCTGCCTACCCTCGTAAGCTGGAGCTCCCACATTTCAGCATGCAAAAGAATCACCCAGAGATCTTGCTGGAAATGCAAACACCTGGCTCCCTGCCCCAAAGATCACTCTTCGGTAAGTCCGGGATGAAGTCCAGGAATCTGTATGCTATCAAGTGTATCCAGGTGACTCTGACACGCTGGACTAGAAAGAAAGTATGCAGCTCTTTCTGGTTTATTTCTTTCTCATTTATAAATAGTAAATAGAGCAGAGAATGACATAAAATGGGTGAGAAAAATAAAAGCAAAATTGTCATCTCTAATTCATAATGTGGATAAAGCGTGATCTAACTTTCTAGTACCCAGCTGTGTGCTTTAAAAATGTAATGGTTTGGTTGTGCATTTGAAAGTGTGTGTGTGTGTTACCAGAGGAGACGAGAAAGGATCCTGGCTCCTTAAACATTAAAAAACACGGTAGGAAGTCTCTGGAATAAACTACAAATATAGTAGCTCAAAGTCCTCAGGATTTATAAAGAAATCTGCTATATGCATTAGACACCAAGTCTCCCAGAAAATGAGGAACACAGAGAGGACTGAAGCCTGGCAGGAGGGCAAACATCCCTGGCTCAGTAGAGAACAGGGCAAGGAGGCTGTTGGCACCAACCCCAGGGTGGTCAGAGCCCAGCTGTGGCCTGAGCCAAGCCATATGGAGCAAGAAGTTGTAAGAAGCAGAGCGTGATGGGAGCCGTGGGAAAGAGGGAGGACAGGTAGGGTGGGCTGAGCACCGAGATCCACGACCAGCTGCCAGCTGGGGGCTCCGGAAGCCCACTTGCTGGTCCCCAACTCTGGACCCAGCCAGGCTTCTGGCAACACCAGCTGTCCCCAAGAAGAGGTTTGGGTTAGAATGCTTCTTTGTAATTAAGGTAGGATTACAGAAGGTTGTGCTTCATAATTAAGTTTCAGTTTATTTATACTGCCCATTTTTTCTGCTATACATATATATGCCATAAAAAGACTTGATCAGTACCGAGAGCTTCCAAATAGCCAGTTTTGCGTATGCAAAATGTACATCTTACACCTTATGGTATGTTGTAAACCCCACTTAAACCTGGATCTCTTACCTACAACCATAACATCCATACACATACGCTAAGCCAACCAGTCAGCTGTGACGAGTCACACAGGGCCCCATGTCCACTGGTACAACAAGCTCTTCATGTCCGAGCCTGGCCCAGGGCTCACTGTGGCACAGGACCCATGGTAGAAAGCCAAGTGCTAAGGCAGCAGAGCACCCACAGGAGCCTGGAATCAGCAAAGCCCCACAGAGTAACTGCAGTGTCCAGCAAGCGGGTGACATAGAATGGCGCAGCAGGAGGTAATAAGGTGCCCTGGCAGATCGTCATGGCTCCATATGTGACCCTGAGCAGGGACTCATGTGATGCCAACTGAACTGTTATTTGGAGCTGGGTACAACTTCCTGGGCAGGAGGGAACCTGGCTGAAGAATTCAAGGCTCACTGAGCCCAGGGCTGTGTGTGGGTTGTTGAGACAGAACGGTGGCACCAGCAAAGGCAGATCCTGGAGTGAAGAGGATGACCATGATTAACTGAACAACCATTCTTGAGTACTTACTAAATGCCAGACTCTGCCAGATTTGTATAGATTAGCTAACAACTACCATACCCGTTTTACTGATGAGGAAACCAAGATAAGGAAGACTTAAATGATGTGCCCTAGGTCACAGGGGCAGTAAGAGCTAAAGTCAGCCTCTGAACCCAGACATCTTAGGTCTGAAACTCACACTAGTAACCATGATGTTACAGAGGTCTTCATGACTGTGTGGGCAACCAAAGTAATTCGTGATGTGGATTTTCAGACAAGACGGCCTCAAATGCTTCCTGCCAATTGTCAGGATAGGTCTAGAGGCCAAGGTCAGGTTCATTCAGTCTCAAAGGCTTGGTCAAAGCAGCTGGATCCAACTGTAAGGACAAGGGAGCTGGGAGCAGTGGCGCACGCCTGTAATCCCAGCACTAGGCAGGCTGAGACAGGAGGATCGCTGCACATTCAAGGCCAGCCTGGGCTACATAGTGAGTTCAAGGCCAGCCTGACCTACAGTGAGACTATATCTCAAAAAACTAACTAAATAAAAGCTGCAAAGAGCTATGGAGCGAGGATTAAAGCCAAGCAAAGCCTGAGAAATCCTGTTTCATATCTCCTTTGTAGAGAGTACATCTGTTTGTACTTGTAATGACCAGGTGTAGACTGCAAAGCACTGTTTTGCTGGAAAAAGTAGGTGTTGATGTTCCTAAACTCGGAGTCACTGAAGAACTAAAGAGGCCACGCTTATAGCAAATGAAGAGGATTTATTTGAAGATGGGAATAGAGGAAAAGAGATATGACAGACAGCTACCCAGAACGAGTAGGGAGAATTTGAAAGTTCCTGGGTGCTGGCCACCAGCTCTTTTTGTAAGGTTTCTTCTTCCTGTTTAGGCTCCTGGAATCTGATTGGCTCCCTGGCTTGTCTTTCATTTTAACCATGGATTTCTTCTGGTCATGTGACCTTTCACTGTCCTTTAGTGAAGGGTAAGATTATGAGTGGGGTCCTTAAATGGGTTAAATAAAGGAAAAGTTTGCAATTCTTGTTATTCTTGGCACCTGGGAACTTCCAGGTCCTGAGTTCTTTATCTTTCTACTTGCTTGAATGTAGCTGCCTTTGTCATTCTAATTGTTCAAAGTCTTTGCCCTTCTAATTGCTGGAGTCCTGGCTGCAGAGGTCAAAACCGTCTTACTAATTTTTAATAAAGCTCAATGAGACTTCATCCTATCTTTTCCTTACCTGGAGGGGCCTGTCCCTACATACCTGTCCCATTCTTATCTGCATATAATCTCCTCTCATCTTTAGACTCTCTAAAGTTAAAACTTCCAGGTTACAGATCATTTTACATTTTGTTACACTTTAAATTTGATTGCTTCCTGATGTCAGACTGAGTCATCTTCACCTTGTCAGCAATCATCTCTCATATTACACTAGGAGTGTTAGAAAAGTTTTCAAGAAGCTCCAGTAGCCCAATCCCTAGCAGAGTCAGCTAACTATGACAGGCCAGAAGGTCACGTTAACCATTTCTGAACAGGAACCAAGATAAACATCTGGTACGGGAACAACCGGACCTAGCCCTAAACATTCCCGTAAATGATCCCCCACCGAAGTCCCTCCTCCCCTTTCTCGGAATTCCCCCTACCCTATAGCTTGTGGTTTTTTCCTTTAAAAACTGTGTCTCTACCCTGCTTCGGGGCTCAACTCCTCTGCCCCTGCGAGGGTTATGAGCTGAGCCCCAGCGCGCTGGAATAAAGACCTCTTGTGTTTTGCATCAAGAATCATCTCTCCGGGGTGTTTATGGTGCATCATGGCGTCCCGGACTTAAGAGTGGTGGGATTCCTCCCTGGGAGGATCTTACAGGAGGTGGCCTTGGGCAGGTTTCCTGAGAGAGATGGTCCTTTCCATGGGCACAGATTCTTGTCAATTTCAGGCCAGAAAACTGAGAAGGAGGTTAGAGGGAGCCTCCTAGACAGAAAACGGGATCCTTCAGGATGGGACCTGAGCTTTACAGACAAAACCCTGGGAGAGAATCTCTTTACACATAATTCCCTTCTGCCCCAAAGAGGGTGGGATGGTCCTGCTGGACTCTCAATGGGCGAGAAATAAAGATGTGCTTTAACAGGACAAGCTGAACCCTTATAAAGCAATACAGGCCCTCCCTGATGTTCCATCAAGACAATTGCCTGGGGCTGCTATGAGTCACCAAGAGTATTTTGGAACCTTCAGCTACATTTCTGGTGACTTCAGTTAAGCTGAGATGACAGCCTTGCACACCTAACATGGTTGCACAAGAGGCCACCGTCAGGGTCAAATGCTCACCTATGTAATTAATTACTCTCTCCTCCCAGAGGAGGAGGTGAAGAGCACCATGCCCAAGGAAGGTGGTGCCAAGGAACCCGACCTAGAAGCCCGCCTGGCTCGGACAGGCATATTTGTTTTTAACCCTTGGCCTTGCTCTGGATTCAATCAAAAGATCCAGCTACCATAGCAACATATAATGTATTTAACATTACCAGTGAAGAAATCTAGAAAACATCCCTGCATTGCCATGAGAAAGTGGCTGCATGACCTTGGGTAAAACACTTACTCAGCCTCTCAAAGCTTAAATTATCACATTTGAATGACAAGCCTTGCGCCTACCCCCTCTGAAAAGCCCCAATCTCCAGGGCGTAATGTGAGGAAGAAATTAGCATACACTGAGGTTGCCTGCTCACAGTAATGCTCAATAAAGCTGAATGAAGGCACCGAAGATGGGTCCAACAGTCCTAGAAGCTGGAGTGTCTGAAAAGGGGTGTAGCGAGTGA